TTCAGCCACTGGGACCCAACCGATTCAATGGCCAGCCCATGAATTCTAACTTCTACCAATTCGTGATGCATTTAGCGCAACTGGCACCAACCATTCGATGATCATCGGTGGGAAATCCATCCTCACACTTGACTGGATGGACCTTACTGCTCACGACTTCTCACTAGAACTTCGTCCTATAGCTAGTCAGCCACTAGCAAACATCAAATTAATTTGCTATAGTTGGTTTGTGGATGAATTGTATACGAGCCAGCTTGCCTTGTAACCGCAGGATCCTGGGTCTGAACTCTGGAGGTGGGTGCAGATGATTCCCAAACTAGGCTGATGAAACAGCTGTCCAGTACTCTCCACTGCTGGTTTTCAACGGTTCTCTAACTGATATCAATCCGTGATCAACTCAATGTACAAAGCTATTTCCACAACATGTAATAAAAATTTTTTTCAAAAACACCAGTTTAAATAATATATAACAGAGGTTCAACTAACCTAAATATTCAAATTCTTCTTCTAAAGCCATTCCATTATGCGCAGCACATTCGCCACAGATTAGAGCAAACCGTTTATCAGGACCATCACCGACCAATAGATCCAAAAGTTTATCAACTAATGAACGTTCTCTAGGCAAAAGTGGTCTTATCAAACGTGGTTTGTTCATTGCTGGTGCCTGAACGGAACCATTTGGTTGTGTAGGCACACTTTGGTCTACAAAACAACAACACAAAAAGAAAAAACAAAATTAGAATCAAACACTTACTATCAGCAAACTAATGGTGGTAATCATTACTAATGCCATTTTAGTAAAGATGTTAACTTTACTTGTATACTTGTTTATTCCATGAAAAGTGATGCTACTGATCAAATGATACAGATGCCTGTGAAAGGAGTTCAAGCTTACTGACCACAAATTATTTTATTTATTTATTTATTATTTGCATTATTTCCTTTAATGCTTAGAGGAACATAGGGCGTCTCAGCCGCACGTCTCCATTGCGTTCGGTTCTCTGCTAACTTTTTCACCTGGTTCCAAGTCTGCCCATATGCTTTCATCTCCTATTCATATCGCCTCCTCCATGGCACCCTCACACTGACGACCAACTCGCCACTTCCCGTTCCGGTTCCACTGGAGCGATGGCCTGGCATGTGATGTATGTCACTTGATGGTTTCCTCAGAGTATGGCCAATCCACCTCCATTTCATCCTGCATATTTGTTGCACAATTGGTTCCTGCTGGGTTGGTTGGTTCGTTCATTGCCAGAGATCCCTCATTATTGCTGATCTTTTCTGGCCGGCCATCTGATCTTGAGTGGTATTGAGTGAAGACAGCTGTTGATGGAGGTCTGTAGTTTGTTCTAAGTGCTTCTTGTGACGCGCCAAGTCTTTAATCCATAGAGTAGCACTGACTTCACATCGGAGTTGAAAATCCAGATCTTATTTTTCATGTTCATTGCTGTTGATCTCCACACAGATTTGAGAGTAATGAAAGCTTGTCTTGCTTTCCTGATCCTTGCTGCTCTGATATCCTCCTTAGTTCCGCCTGAAGTTGAAATGATGCTTCCCAGGTAGGTAAAGAAGGTTGTTTCTTTGAGATTTCTCCCATTTACAGTGATTTTTGTCTGTTGGTGTTGGCCAGGAATCTTCATCACCTCTGTTTACCGCATGTTCACCTGAAGGAAGTCCTAACTTCTCTGGATGCTTCTTCTGCCACCTTGTTGCTTTTTACTTGCATATCTTCGAGTTTATGGGAAATCAGACATTTATCATAAGCGAAGTCAAGACCCTCCAAGTTTTTTGTGCGAGTCCATTTTATGCCTGACCACAAATACGGTACTTTATTCAAATAGTTAATAAAAAAATATGAATGTGTCGTAAATACAGTCAAGATTAAAGCAATCCTCGAAACTGAAATCAGTTATCATTCTCATATTGAACTTTTCCGTCTGGTAGACCAATAAACAGACGCCTTATATCGATATACCCCACATATATTGTTAAAATAGGTCTAATAGCCACAGCAAAGAGGTCTGACTGACTGACGGACGGAATGGTTTCAGTAGAGGACATGTTATAATCACAGCTCTCTTTCAGCTCCATGTTACTTTTTTTATACTACTCTGGCACAAAAAAGCGCAAACCCACAAACTCAATTAGAAACAAGCTTTGTCAGTTAAAGGATCCTGTGGAGCCTTTAAAACAAAACAATTTAGTTTATCTAATACCCTCCCTGCAATGATTGTCAGGTCAAATACACAGGTCAAAGTAGTAGCACGGAGTCAGTCAGTGTGACTAGAACAGTAGTACAAGAACCTAGCAAAATGTACACTAGCTGACCCTAATAAGATAAGAAATCTGATATATAGTCCACCTATAGTACTATATTCAATTACACACAACCATACAATAGGATGATGGGATAAGGTGACACTTTTAAAACCTAATGTAACAAGGTGAAGGGAGAGATTGATAACGGACGGTTTATTAATCCAATCAACTGCCAATACGTGTAATAAGAATGATTTAACATCTGTCCACCCAGATATCTGAAAAATTCTACTACCCCTACAACGATAAATAGGAGAGAACAAAGAAAACTATAAAACTCAAGTTTCCATGTCGTGTGACTACAATTGATATGATTGTGAACAATATATAAATTGTGTTTGAAACCTCGTCATCCAATAAATAATACTGTTTCACTGTGTGATATATCTAATAAATAAAAAGTAATATGGAATTATGTACTACCACAGTGCCCAAGTTTTTCACACATGTTAATTAGTGAAAAGTTGATTGACTAACAACGCCAAGTTACAATAAGTCGTATACTTGACGCTGAGTCGAAACTACAAGTTTGAATCCATATATGTGACAAGCATGTGAAGTGACAAGTGGTTGTCAGGTTGAAAAAAAAATAAGGCGATAGATGACTATCTACTTCTCTAGCTGCAGTATACTTCTCTGAGTGGTTTATTCACAAACAACTGTTAACTATGCTATGGTAGTGTGCACTGCTACTTTGAGGTCCTTAGGATGCCAAAAACCAATGACTTGAGACTTTGTTATATGACTTAAAATCGTCATCAGTGGTGCAGATGCATTCACCCTTTCGAAATTCATTGCGTCATGTTTTTCTACGTTACCGATCTCCTTTCCTAAATCTCCTTTTTTTTCTCTACCTCTGTGCAGATTTCTACGGTAAAAATCGGTCAGTCACACACAACCACACTTAGATACGCCTTCATTAAATGTACGTAAGGCCATAAGTCTGAGGACGGACAGTAAAACTGATATCACCATGGGAAAAATCAAAACATTAGGTCAATTTTTGTACGGAGATCTATAATAAGTGTAAAGAGGAAACAAATATGGAAACGCAGTAACTGATGAAATCACAAACTTCGATAAGACGCATTAGCTAAATACTCTAAAGATATAATTATTTATATCCTTAAAAAAATCAACATACAAACACACGAACATTGTGATAAATGCTTACTAAGTCGAAAGGATGTATGATCAATAAAAACCGATAACTTGCTAAATTGCACTATTCAAATATTAACCATATATATATTCAGCTCTTCACATACATCCCCACTGACGTCAAAACTGGAAAACTGTATACAGGGGGTCAGCCATAGTCTTAAATGGGACTCACATATCCTAGAAAGGCTTCAAAGGAAGACAACACGGATGATTCTCGGCGTGAATAATTTATCATACGAGGAAAGACTAGACGGCTTAAATCTCTTCTCCCTATCATATCGTAGGCAGAGAGATCTCACTGCAATATTTCAAATCTTAATTATATTGACTAGGGACCTGATCTACTCTCCCTCTTTTCCTTTCCATTAGGTCACAACACCTTAGAAGACAGCAGGGGAGTTCAAAAGCCAAGAAGAAACTATTGCTGTGTAGTAATACTTTACACACCGTCATCAACCTGTGTAACCAACTCCCAGAAGAAGTGATATCTGCAACCTCAATTGGCTTATTCAGGAAAGGCTTGGACAAGCACAGAAATTTACTCGAAAAGGATTAACATAGACTTCAAACCGTTTATCCTAAACCATTATGTATATATAATCATGTTTGTAAAGTATTCAGCCTAAAAGTCCGACCTATCAAATACTTTGTTTTCTTCACAATTACTGCTCGCTATGAAGTGCTACGTTAATTTAATAAGACGCATATCAAGTACACGATAAAAAGGAGCAACCAATTGCGCATTTGATAATCCAGGATTCGAAAGTTTATCACCTGCAGCAGCGTCGCAAGTATTTCGACGTCGTATTTCTGACTGAGAAGATTCCAAGTTGATCATGGAGCCAAAGCCAGGCTTTGCAAGCTTCCTTTCCTAGTCAAGAACAAACAAAAAATGATAACATGAAGTCGTCCTACCTCTGCAGCAATGGAAGCAAATGTTAATGGATCAAAACGCTTCAGAATCTGTTGCGCCTTGTTGTATGGCTCTTTCTCCCTCACATCATCTAACTGTCATAAGAAATAAATACATTTGTTAGAACGCACCAATTTTTGTTTCGTTGCACGCAGCTTTTTCAATTTTTCATCTAAAAATATATTTAGCGCATTAATCGAACTTACTTGTCCTGTTAACGCGTCTCGTGAATATAATCCGGACAAAATATTTCAACAGGAGCATGCTGATAAATGAGGAGATTGGAAGTGAACATACCAAGGCAGATACAGAGCAAATATCAGGGATACTGTGATTTGTCCTCCCAATGTTTGCGGCCAGTAATTGTAATAAACAAAGATGAAGCTTAGACCAAAGATTATTATGGCGTAGAGTATAAGCCTATATGCGAATTGTTTCTCTGAATCGATACTCCTTGATCGTTCACTCTCCAGTTCTAAGATTTCCTACAAGTATCTACTGCATTACATTTCAATTATTTACATCATCAATATCCTCGAGCTGTTCAACAATAGACTTTTTAGATCTCTAAATTTAGTTAGAACAAATTATGAAATTGAAAAACCTTGAAAATCCAGAGTAAATGTCTCTTAAGTGACAGCATGGATACAAACATGGCCTTGACAATCGTTAAATTGGGCGCGACGACTTGTGTCGACGATTAATACTCTACATAAATTAGCGTTTGTAAACAATTACATCAATCGGAAAATTCTATATCCGTCCTTCCAACTGACCGTAGTGTTAAGTTTTAGTACTGAGTATATATATATATGCATATCAGTATATATGGTACTAGTGGCTAACTTTGGAGGAGTGACGTACTAGTTCCAGATTTGTTAATAAAAAAGATCTGCGAGAGGCTTTACTGCATATCCTCGCTATAATGCTTGTTGCTATGTTGCTGTGGGTTTCAAGTGGCCTTGGTTTTGGGGAAGATTTAATCAATATAATATTACGATTTCACAGACATAACCTAGTGTCATAGAGGAAAGAAAGTGATTGTCCTGGAATAAGGACAGGTTGTTCAGAAGGTAAGGAGGACATTATTTTTCAGTTTATTCATATACATACTATTGCGCAGCGGGTTTCAATGAGTTCTTAGTGCAACTGTATGTAACTGCATTTACATAAAGCAAAAGATTACGATTGCTCATGTTTTCAGAACAAAAAATTGAACAGCATACGGGAATTACTTACTAGTTCCAGATTTGTTCCAATATCCAATATCGTTTTTACGAGCTAGTATAAACCAATTTGATTTCTTTGTGCTCGCCTCTTGATTGTGAGGTAGAGGTTCCTGATCTTCGGTAGACTAAAAGACAGAAAAAGAATAAGAAAACGTAACAACAGTCGGTCAACCGGTATACATATATATATATATATATATATACCAGTAATAATGATAATAATAATAATAGGTGTAGTTAAAGCTGTCAGGAGAGTGAGACGGAAGAGAATGTAAGGAAGTAAAACGACCAGTTTAATTGTCTACCTTTGAATGGTGTATGCGATTTAAAGGCGATAGGACATTTGGATGAAGTCCTTGTGTCGCTGCATGGTTGTCCAGCCTTCGCTTAAAGGCGTCCACAGATGGTGCCATAGCTACATCTGCCGGTAAGGAATTCCAGGGATGGCAAACCCGCAGGGAAAAGAAGTGTGAACGCACCCGGGTCCTTGCCCTCTGATGAGCTATCCTTCTAGTATCTCCACTCAATGGCAGAACACCTTTGTTTGGGTGATTCTGATCATTTGTTATTTTGTAGGCAGTAATTAAGTCCCTCCTAAGACGACGGTAACTAAGTGTGAATAGGCCTAATTTCTTCAGCCTTTCATCATATGGTTTATTTCGGAGACCAACCACTCCTTTTGTTGCTCGTCGTTGAACTCTTTCCAAGAGGTTGGCGTCTCTTCTATGCAGTGCGGGTGCAATGATATTATGCACTTCAAGATGCGGTCTGACGTATGTTTTATACAACCTGAGAAAGAGCTCAGGAGTGAGTGCACCTAATTGTCTATGTGTAAAGTGTATGACCGCATATGCCCTCGCTACATCCCCCGTGTAATCTACGCTTGTGTCCATTTTCTCCGCTAGAACTAGACCTAAGTCACGTTCCGACGTTGAGCAGGACAAGCTTTCATTGCACAGGGTGTAACTTACATTCCGCAGTCTACAGGTGCGTAACTTCACTACTTTGCACTTTTTCAGGTTGAAAGTCATGTCACTGGCCACCGCCCAGTCTTCCAGAAGCCTTAGATCTGCCTGCAGTCTATCTGAGTCCTCCGGACACTTTATCGCCCTCCATATCTTCACGTCATCAGCGTATAGAAGAGTCGGGCAACTTAGATGACATGGTAGATCACCGATAAAAATCAGGAACATCAGTGGTCCCAGGATACAACCCTGCGACACTCCTGATGACGAGCTGTGCCAAGATGATCGGACTCGATTGACCTTGGTGCAAAATTGCCTTCCAGTTAGGTAGTCCTTCAACCATGACAGAAGTGGTTTACCTGAACCTACCTGGCTTATTTTGTGTAGGAGAAGGTCATGGCGAACAGTGTCAAATGCCTTCTCAAAGTCTAGAAAGAGCTACTGGTCTATAACTGGTGGGCAATACTCACATTGCTGTTTAGCTGTTTGGCGAAGGCTAAACTGAATGTTTCGGCCATCTCCAAACTAGTGAGATATTAACCATTTTGGCCTACTAAGGCGCACGCTCCCTGGTTGGTTGGTTTCCTTTCCGACATGAATCGGTACAAATTCTTCGGGTTTGCCAGGAGTCTTTTAGCAAGGTTAGCCTGGAATGACCTCCTGTCCCTCCTGACTCTTGCATTGCACCGGTTCCTGAGTTCCAGGTATGCATCATGGTTGATCTGGCTTTTAGATATGCGCCACGTAAACCAAGCCTTCCGCTTTGCTTGCAAAATACGCTGCGTGCCTCTCTTTAACCATGATGACTTTCTTTTGAGCTGTGTTGTGACTAAAGGGACGGTATCCGAGATTACTGTATGAATAATCTCTTTTACCGCTTCCCAGTGTTCACCCACAGACAACTCATCCCATGCTAAGGGCCAGTCTGCATCGGACAAGAGCCTCCGCATTTCAGCATAGTCAGCCTTGCTATAACACAGACATGGTTGCGTAACGTCCCACTGCAAATGCTCACGGAGAACGAGATCGAAACCTATGACTGCATGGTCACTACTTCCTAGAGGAGTCATGATCTGGACCTTCTCGACAAGTAGTTGGTCACTAGTTAGAATGTAGTCTAGTTTTGATGACTTTCCACTAGGGCCCCACCTAGTGTCGTCTCCAACGTTCTCAGTCAGTCCCGTGTTTCGAATAGCTTGCAGTAGATTTCGGCCGAATTTTCCCTTTGCATACCCCGAGCCAAGGTTCACTGATGGGGCATAGAAATCCCCAGCAATGGTGATTTGGTCATACCCCAAGTCTCGTATCCCTGTGATAGTGCTGAGCAGTAGCTGATTGTGCTCTGCCCCACAGTTGGGAGATCGGTAGATGCCACCAAGTAAATGCTTGGTGTGGCCTACGGTGAAATGACACCATATGGAGTCTGGGAGTTCAATAAGTGGTGGGTCCGTTGCGCGCACACATTTAAGTTGCCTATCAAAGTATATGCCAACTGCCCCTCCTTCCTTATTATCCTTGTCTCTCCTGACCAAAACCATATCACCTATACTGATTTCATTATCGGCAATAGTTGGCGTTAGCCATGTTTCGGTGAGAGTGATCATTTTCAGTTGTAGGTGTGCTTGGAGATTTCGGAGTTCACCTATTTCTCTTCTCAGCCCCCTTACATTGCTATAATGGCGGCTGACAGTGAGTCTTACAACCTCAGCGTTCCGATGGAACCGGCCCGTTGTGGATTTTTCCCATGGATTTAGGCAGGACACTTGGGTGACACAGACTGTTATTCTCAGAACTGCATCGCTCTAGTGTCACTGAAGCTTGGAGACGTGTTAAAGCCTCCGTTTGCTGCCTCCTTATGGTTCGAGGTCTGCTTTCGCAGCATCGGATGTGTCCTCCCAATTTCCCCTTGATCTCATACCACCGTTGAAGTGTTATGGCCAACTGCTCTGGGGAGTTGAATGTGACACTTAGCAGCTTTGGGGAGCTAATCAGTGTGAGATGAGCGGGGCGAGGTAGTCGGTAAACGGAGATGGCTCCAGAAGCGCCAAGGGCCATCTGAGACGACAGCCATCTCCACTGCTGTACGTCATGCATGTGTTTTTCACAGGCAATGCCCTTTTCCAGCTCCGGAACACCGTGTACCACCATAGAGGTAGAAGGCAAAAGTTCCGGTGACTCCCTCGCCATTTGTCTGACAGCCCATGGTCTGTCTTGTCTCACCCTTATGTTCGAGCTTCTGTCGATGGCTAGTACCTGAGCCATCAATAGTACCTTTTCGGCCTCTAAGGCAGAGTCCAGTGTAACCCGTAATGGGGGTGGCTTACCTTGAGGTGTGTGGACACCCCTGTACAGCCTGCACAATTTCACTGAACTAATATTCAGACCTAGTTTATTGCACAGGTTGAACCACTGTTCCTAATCGAACAGGGTCCGCTGTTCAAGCGAGCTGTCCTTGCTCACAGGTACGTTAAAGAGGATGAGCGAATTAGACCGATTAACCTCAGACTTGGGTTTGGCCTTTGGCTTCTCGTATTCCTTTGCAGCATCAGCAACTTTAGGCTTCATCGGGTTCTGGCCAGCCCTTATTGTGTTGCCAACCTTCCTTGTGAATGGAAGTGGTGCTTCTCTAATTCTATCTTTCCTTGATGTTTTGGGTCCAACCTTTTGAATCTTCACCTTGTGAAAATTGGCATTTTCAGTCAGTAGGACTGGAGTGTCCTTCTTACTGTCTGTGCCAAGTTTTGGCAATGTGATGTTAGCAGGTAGGGAGCTGCATAAGGCCATGTTGGGACACAAGAGCGGCGTGTTGTTTCTGCTATCCGCAGACACGCTCTGTGTGACTATGCCAGGGCGACAGAGTGGGCAGATGTACCAAAACCACTGGCACGGGTTATTTCTCATAAACTCGTAGTATGCTTTCGGCACCTCTTTGTCGCAGCGGCAGTGCACCCACCGTTTGCAAAAATTGCATTCGAACGCTGAGTCAGCTTTAGAAACAATGATATTGCACGCCTGGCATTCGTCTCCCTTACTTGGTGACGCCTTCGAGGTCTTATGACGTCTTGAGCGTTTCCTTTTAGGTTTGTTGTACTTCACACACTGGCTTTCAGTTGATGCAGGTGTAGTATCCTGTCCCCCTAGTATTGCCTGTGCCGTTTCAGTACTAGATTGTGGCAATGCAGGCGTAGTATCAGGACAGACGAGTCCTACACGAGTCTTTAGGATGGGTACGCGACTTGGGGTTGGTGTTCCTGGGTTTTTGCCTTCTCTGGCTGAGGCCCTTGTGACTAAAGAGTAAGGTGTTTTGGTGTCATTTCTAAGGTTACTTTCTACAGCCATATTAACTATCGCTAAAACTTATGCTGTATAAGAATAAGAGTGCAACAGAATCTACCCACAAGAACAAGAATAAGACTGAAAAAGTACAAGACAAGGAAAAGAAAAGGTTTTCGACTTTACCT